CTCCTTTAAAAAAAAAAAAAAAAAAAAAGTATCTCAGTACTTAGTTATTTTTAGTCATAATATTTTATATTTAGAGAAAAAGTATTTCAGAGACTAAGACAAAATTGAGGAAAAATGAATACTGTGGAATCAAGCTAAGTACGTCATGGGAGAAGTCTAGACTCTGTCAGTCTTACCAGGGCTGTGGTCCTCACAGACACCTGTAGGAAAGGCCACAGGCTTCCATCCCCACCCACATCACTAGAAGCTCACTGAATGCAGGGAGACTTGACTACCCATAACTAGTACCATCTTTCTCAGATGAGCCCATCAGCAGTCTGTCAAACCATCATGCATTCATTGTTAAAACTTACTCATTTCTTTTTCAGACCTTTTTATTACTGCTTAATCCAAACATATATCATGGGCAAGATGGACACAATGCTTTGAATATACTACTTTAAAAACAGATCAAGATATTTCTAAAACACAACACATATATGTTATAGCCCTGAATATGTATTTTCTTGAACACAAGAAAGACTGTTCAATAAAAAAACTCATTGGGTCTGTCTGTCATGTTTTTAAGCTAAGTAAATGTCCAGGTGGTTGGGTCCATTTACAACTGTTTCCACCTCCATTACTTTCAGTTAAAAATGTGGCCTTTGGGCCCAGGGATCTAGCTCAGTGGTGCTGTCACCTGCCTCATAAGCACAAGGACCCGGGTTTGATCCTCAGTGCACCCCCCTCCAAATGTGGCCTTTGTTCCCAAATTCTGGAGCGGCTAATATTACAATATCACTAAGCTACCTGGAGTTTTGTTCCCAATTTTTTTAATCCTTAATTGCCCCCCTAGAATCATAAAAGAAGTATTTAATTTTCTACTTGGGACAAAAATAATCTACCCACTGTTTCATCATCCTCCAAATCTATCTTGATGCATCTTACTCTATCCAGGAATATCTAAGTTCCTTAATATGGTGATTCCTAAGTAATTCTAAGACAAACTGCTAGCATCTCACGTTCATATCTGGTCCCCGTTAAGTACATTTTAAATTCTAATTTTGGAGACTTAAAACCAGGTAACTGGTTAGTGGCTAAAACTGGGTAACATGCTTCTTATCACTAGAGTGTTTTTGTTTGCAATGAGGAATTTTAAGAAATGTCAAATCTTGGGCCAGGGATTTAGCTCAGTGGTTCTGGCGCCTGCCTCGCAAGCACAAGGACTGGAGTTCGATCCCCAGTACCAAAAGTAAATAAATAAATAAATGTCAAATCTCTTTCTTACCAAAGTCTTGTGTTAGGCAGTTTCTAGTTTTTCTGGCTAACCAATCATTTTGGAAATAAAGACTTTTTACTACAAAAACAAAATTTGTTTGGACTTCCACTTAAAAAAATTGAAAGATCACAAAAACTACCAAAGAATGGCTATAACTATACATATTTTATCAATGGCAAACCAGTTATATATCTACTTTACACTGATATTTTAAGATAACAAAAGTTCAGAGGTGTATTTCCCAGACACTGAGTGACTTACCTGTCATCTTGCCAATGCATTTTATTTGAAGAAAATCTGCTGTAGCAAATGAAAATAAAACCTGGGCTTCTCTAGACCCAGAACTGAAAAAAATTAAAAGAATCTGTCCTGTTTTCTTCATTTCAACTTTGTATACTGAACATATTTTATACTCAGAGCCTACACACTCCATCCAGAAAGGAAGGGTGTGTTACATATTCTCACATGACTACAATTCTTCAGAAACTTAGTGCACATCGAATCGAGTCCATGGCTGAAATGTCAATTCACAAAAAATGTACGATTATCTCTGTGACCTATTTCTGCTTAGCCTATATGTTTCAGGCAATTAAAAAAATTCCAAGAACTGTAAAAAGGCCTCACAGGATCATTTTATAATGGAACCTGACCTGGAATAAAAGAACCCAGCTTTGAAAATTCCACTACATAGAATTCGGCAACAAAGGAGTTAAACACTTATATCCTAAAGAAACTGACATTTATCTAAACAGCACTAAACCATAAATGTTTATTCCCTAACCATAACACAGAATCAAGGAAGACTGTCATTTCCACTATTTTGCTATTTGGTGCTATTAATCTTAATAGAATGATTTATTTTGTTCTTCATGTTGCCCAAGTAGGGAAAATGAATGAAAATAATCCCCTCTGAAAATGTGTGAGATGCAAAAACAAATTATAAATAGCAGCTGAATACTAATTAGTATGTAGCTAATTCTTCTACTTAAATCCTTTGACACTGAAAGGAAAAGAGCTCCGCTAAAATGTCACGTCTGAATAATGGCATCCCCACAGGCCTTCACGCAGCTGGGTGGCGAAGCACAGGCAGGGTGACGGTTAAGCCTGCGGAGCCCAGGTTCAAGCTACTGTGAGACAGAGCCAGTTAACTGGCCTTTTCTGGCCTCAGGATGGACACAAGCTTTCCCAGACTGCAGAATGCGTCCTACTCCCCACCCTGCATGACTGCGTCGATCCTCACGGTATTCAACCAGTAAAGGCCCACTTTGTGATGAAGGTGGTTTGAGCTGCATTTCAGTCACTTATAGCCCAAATGTCATGACAAATAAAATATGCATGCATACTTTTACAGTTATCATCAGAGCAAAATGCAATTTCAGAGTGTTTTCATTTAACATTCATAATGTCTTAAGACAGAACTCATTAACATTTTCTCATGTTGCTCTAAATACTCCTGTCTTTAGCATGCTGATTGGTAATGATTCTCATATTTCAAGCAGTCACGTGCTTAAACAATTTTCCTTTACCTCAAATAATTTTTATGTATTAAAAGAAGAAAAGCAAATGTCTTATTCAAAATTCCTGGCTCCTTTTAACATTTGGAATTTGTAAAAGTGGAATCCCTGTTTTTTCCACCTTTGGTTACCTTTTCTACTCAGAAGTCAGAAGGACCACTTCTGAAACATGCCTGAATCTCTTCCTCCCTCAGTGCACTAGTGCTGCTCACAGAAGACCAGCAGCCTGATAGCATCCACAAAGGAGATACAGAAAGAGGCATTATTAACTTCTACAGTAATGTGACATCGCCACAATACCCAAGAGAATGACTTTCCTAGTTATCAGTCCACAACACTGAAGATTCAATTGTTTTAAAACTGGGCCTTTATACAGACAGTCTGAGAAGTGTCAGAGAGGAGAGCTGCCCACAATCCCTAGGCCAGTGGCGGCAAACCTGCGGCACATGTGCCACAGCGGGCCGGCTGTACCACTGAAAGCTCTAACAGGTTCACCATCCCTGCTCGGCCCTTCGTTCTCTGAGGCTGACCTATCCATATGGCAGAACCTCGTTCCAGATTTGGGTGCCTATTCACCTAACAATAAAGACCTTGCCCGGGCTCACTGCCCTACTTCTCAAACACCTGCCCTCAAAAGCAAGTTAGTGCCCCAATACCCCGATTTTGCCACAGACCTTCTCGAAACAGCCCACACTTACTTCCTCCATTTCCTCACCCTCCAATCACATCACAACTCACTCTTATCTGGCTTCCTCAACCAGGTGGCTAAAACAAATCTACGGAAGTCAGCAGCAACCTGTAAGAAATCACTGTGTCTCCCCATCCCCTCCTACCCCTAGCCCATCCTCTACACAGCACTCAAAGCTTTTTACCACTCCTGGCTTCCGCTATGCCGAGGCATTAATCTCTCCAATTTTGGGCCACTTCTCTTGACTTTTTACTGCTTCTTAATTTCATCTTGTTCTCCCCCAAATGTTTGTTTTCTCCTAAAGTCTTACCCTTGGACCTCCTCCTCTCCATTTCCTTCTAGCAGGTGTCACATACTTCTATCTCTTCAATCACTAGTTCAAAACAGATAAATTCCAAATCTGCGTGTCTAGCCCCAGATTCTTCTTTTGAGCTCGAATCTATTCCCAATGCCTCCTGACTAGTCCTTACTAGGACTGTGACAAATATCTTTGCTTCTTTTTCAGGCAGGGGCTTGCTCTGCAGTACAGGCTGGCCTTAATCTATGAGGCAATCCTCCTGCTTCGGCCTCTGAGTTGCTGGGGTTTCAGGCATATGCACCACACATGGCTACAGATGTCATACATCCCTATCACTAGAGCTGCCTATACTCCTTATTTTACCTCATAGCACCACTACCTTTTTGCTCAATATTTTAAAGTGCCAAACATTTCTTAGATTACTCGATATTCAGTCCCTTTCTCCCCACATTACTACAGTTCAGGCCTTAGTCACCTCTGTCAGAATTCATTGTGATTTTCTGCAATGACAGGCAATCCGGGAAGACAGTAAACACAAAGGGCATGGCTCTGCCCTCAAGAGAGTTTATGATGATGAAAGGTCAGAGTCCAGGATTCAAACTCCACCCTGCTCCTTAACGCAGCCCCTTCTCTGCCATTCTAAGTACCACTAGATTAGATCCAAGAACCTCCTGTTCCAAACCCTTGGCAGTCTTCCCCGATATACAGAAGAGCCATCCTATTTAAAACCCCTGACCCGTCTTCTTGATCATGTTTCCCATCAGTTACAATCTTTTCAGACAGAGCTCCAACACCAACACACGCCCTACACTGTGCCAACACAGTGCCCCTGCCCAGTTTTTCTCAGCCTTTCCACTACACCTCACCCACCTCAAATCCCCCCTAGGTCAGCCTCCAGCAGAAACACCACTTTTAATGGGGACTTTCTCAGAGCCACAGAGGACCCTGACACCACTTTCTGCAGGTTTCCTGTGCTTGCCGTGAAAGATGGGGCTCTGAACCCTAATTTAACCCCAACACTTTTATCACCCCTCAATCTTCCTCCAGTAGACCCTGAGTAATCTGCAGGAACAGTTCCACGTTTATCCGTTCCCTCAGAGCACCTCATAGTCTTGCACAAAGAAATCTGCTCAGTCACA